TTGATGGGCAAGGAACATCCTTCAACTAGGACATAGAGTGTGTAAGTACCCTAGCTTCCTTGTCCTCAGGAGGGACAGCACAGGTATGTCCACCTGGAGGACCTCAGCAGGACTGAGTCCTAGTTGCCCACACCACATGCTCATTGTTGTGGACTGAATCATGTCTTGAAATTCATATGTTGAAACCCAAACTCCCCAAAGTGACTGTATGTGGAGATAGGGCCTTTATGAAGGTCATTAAAATTAAATGGGGTCCTAGGGTGGGCCCTAATCCGATAGAACTGGGGTCCTTCTAAGAAGAGGAAGAGACACCAGGGGTTCGTGCACAGAGGAAAGACCACGTGGGGACACAGCGAGAAGGTGGCCCTCTGTAAGTCAAGGACTGAAGCCTCAGGAGAAACCAACCCTACCGGCACCTTGATTTTGGATTTCCAGCCTCCAGAACTGTGAGAAAATGAATTCCTGTTGTTTAATCTGCCCAGTCTGTGTTATTTTGTACTGGCAGCCCTAGCAGACCAATATACTCATGAATGCACCTGCTCTGACTTTCTTCTCTTCCTTCTCATTACTCTATTCCCTTATCAATGCTTCTTGGTATCACCTCCCAAATAAACTACTTGCACTTGAATCCTTGTCTCTGCATCTGCTTCTTGGGTGATCTAGGCTAACATGCCTTATCCAGAAGGACTGCTGGCCTTCACACATTCAGGGACCCACTGGGGGCAGGACAGAGATAAGACTGGAAAACACTAGACTCTACTCCTCCATGGCCATGATCTTGAACCAGTGATGTCTCTTTCTTGAACTGAGGCAGAGATTAACTGCCACTGTGCATGCCCAGGGCAGGGAGACTAGACGGACATCAGAGTGACCCCAGCAAAGGTGTCAGGGTCATTGCCCAGCTGCTGTGGGGCTGCCCATCCTTCCTAGGGGTAAGGTGGGGTGAGCGCGAATGCAGTCAGGTAGAGCTTCTGGGCACAGCTGCTGGAATCAGAAAATGCTAAGTTTGAATCTCGGCATCACCACTTTCTAGCTGGCTGACCTTGGGTAAGTCATTTCCCCTCGAGGAGCCCTACTTTCCTTATCTGTTAGATGGAGGTGATATGGATACGTCTCCAGAGGGAGCAGGGAGGGACTGTGGGTAAAGCCCTGGGAACAGTGTCAAGTGAGTGGGCAAGGGGTCAAGTTCATTACATCTGAAGATGGTTACACGGGGGCAGGGGAATTTTGCAGCTACAGGGAATTGTTGAAAGGCCTGTTTTTTCTTGGGCCACCCCAAACACTGCTCTCTTATGCTGTACAGACACCTCCCACTGAATGCAGGGAGCCCCACCCTCACCTGGGGCAAAGGTGGCTGCTTGCATGAGTCAAAATGATTTTTTTTATCTGGGTGTAACTTGCTCAGGAACAGCTGTCAGAGATGGGCTACCCTGATGGCCTGATGGATGTACACAGTCTCCATTAATAACTGAAGGGCAGATGAAAGCTGGCTTTCTCCCCAGAGCCCTTCCTCAGAGGTTACGGTATGGCAGGTATGGCCTGACGGAGAGGTGGCACTGGGTGTGGGTGTGTGTTTGTGTGACTAGTTTAGGTAACAAGGTGAAAAAGCCCACCCTGCCACTATCCTAGAACCCCCTGACTAGGGACAGTGGGGAATATAAAAAGAAACGAGACACAGAGAGGTATATACCCCCAAAAGTGGAAAAGAGGGACTCAGAGAAATCCTTTGTACACATATGTTCACAACAGCGCTATTCATAGTAGTCAAAGAGTGAACCCAAATGTCCATTGGCAGGTGAATGGATAAACAAATTATGCTATAGCCATATGATGGACTATTATTCAGCCATATAAAGCAATACTGTTGCATGTTACAGCATGGTTACACTTCCAAAACATTATGCTGAGTGAAATACACCAGAACCAAGAGGCCACATGTTGTATGATTCCATTTACATGAAAAAACAATCAGAATAGGTAAATCCATAGAGACAGAAAGTAGATTTGTGGTTTCCAGGGGCTGGAGGGAGGAGAGGATGGGGAGCAACTTCTTCATGAGTATAGAGCATTATTTTGGGATGATAAAAATGCTTTGAAACTAGATAGAAGTGGTGATTATAAAACATTGTGAATGTGCTAAATGCCACTGAGTTGTTCACGTTAACGTGGTTAGTTTTATGTGCAGTTCGCGACAAAAAAACAAACAAAGGAACATGGGAAGGCTCAGTGGTACCCAGGGGGACAGATGACAGCATTGCAGCTGGAACCCTGGTCTCTCGGGCCACCTGCGTTTTTCCAGGAGCTGCTTTAGTATAAAGAGAAACCTGGGTCGCTTCTCCTGGGCATTTCACCAGGGTCAGAATTCCCCTGGAAATCTTAGGCTGCGCGGCAGAATCATGAGGCAAAGGCTATCTATTAATAGCTTGCAGGTCCTTGAAGCTGTAGCATCTCATGAGAATAGGTGAGGTAACCAACCAGTCCAGTTTAAAGAGGCAAACTTTATTCTGAAGTATATCTTTAGTTTGATGGCGCTACCTCCCTATGGCAGCCAATACGCCGTAAAAAGCCACTCAGGCCATTTTCAAGAGAAGCAGAAGAGAGAATGTTGATGCTTCTCTTTGGGGTTCCATCTGGTGCTTATCTGCTCCTGGGCTCTGGGGGCCCATGTCAGCCCTGAAAATGTCACCTGGAGACTGGAGTTCTTGGCAAGTTGTGGTGAGGATGACCTTTACCATATTGGGGTATGCTCTGCAATGTCCCGCGTCTCCCCGCAGGATAAGGTGAGGGTCAGAGTGACACTGATGGGGAGACAAGAAGGATGCCAGATCTAGCTATCAAGTTAGATGTGATTCCCAAAGGAGTCAGTGGTAACGCCCAGAGCCTAAAGGAGATGGAGGCACTGGGGGAGGGGGTGTCTCTAACCCTCCCCAGGAAAATGGACGATGCTAGGGAAGGATTTGCTCACCACAAGGGCACTCAGTGGATGGACAAAAGGAGGGCAAACGACCAACTGAATCCCCAAGACAGCCAACTTGGGCTACCTGTGATGAAGACATGTGCCATGTGAGAGAACTGGGGACGGAGGACAGCAGGCAGGACCGTGCTGCTGTTGGTATCCACTGGACATGGCGCCTGGCCCCTCCTTGCACTACTCAGTTTAAGGCTCACCCTGGACCCACCTGAGTTAGACAGTGAGTGCACAGGAGCTTCTAATGATCACCTCTTTCGCCCCCTGTTTCTCACTGCTGCTCTCCTTGAAAGGATAGCCCCAGAACCCAGATACATGGAAACAGGACCGTGGGTTCTTTATTGTTCATCTTTGAGAAGCCCCAGGGAATAGAAGTGTTGAAAACTGGGAGCTGGCAAGTGTCTTGATTTTTTCCAAACGGCTATTGGAAATGATAGGCTGATACTCAGGAGAAATTGGGAACAGATTATGAAACCGGTGGCTTGGGAATACTGAAAAAGGAAACAGTGATCCCTATGCATCCCGTGTTCATTTAGAACACGTCACGTCTCACGGCGAGCCCCATTTCCTTTTCTGTTTGTGGTTTGGTGATCTAGGAGACAATCGTAGACCCGGCAATGACAACAATTTGGCTGTGTACTCTGGCAATCCTGTGACTGCACCCCATGTTGTCTTTTCTCTGTGCCACGTGGGTCTTACTTCTCTGGCAGAACTGCTAGCTCTGCCAGGGTGGAGGCCGTACCTGGGACCTCCTGGGACTTTCAGGGTTCCTGCAATGGCCTTGGGCTGGGCTCAGTGGAAACGTGCTATAGGTTAGTTGAATTGGGTTTGGATTTTCTGAAGATCAAGGTGCTGGGGGTGGGGGGAGGGCAGCAAGAGACATGCAGTAAACAGGATAGCTAGTAAACTTGGAACCTGAAATAGTGGGTTCAAATCCCACCCGGGTCCCTGAGTGGCTGTGGACAGCTCTCATTGCCTCTCTGAACCTTAATGTCCTCACCTGAGCAGGGAAGATGATAAATATTGTACACAGAGGTGTGAAAATTAAAGGAGACATAGTATTATAATAATAAACATATTTTTGAGCTCTTATGAAATACCAGAAACTATGCTAAGCACCCCCACCCCCATGCATTTCCTCATTTAACCCAGACAACCCTTAGATGTGGATTCTAATATTATCTCTACTTTGTGGAGCAGAAGACTGCATCTCAGAAAGAGTGTGCAGCTTGCCTAAGGTCATCTGTTAAGGAGCATGGAGAGAGCTGAAATTTAAACCCAGGATAGTCTGGTTATAGAGGCCACTGGAATGGTATAGAACAGTGGTTCTCAAGCTTGAATGTGCATCAGAATATTCGGGAAGGCTTGTTAAAACACAGATCTCTGGGCCCCACCCCAGAGCTTATGATCCAGTCGATCTGTGGTGAGGCCTGAGAATTCTCTTTCTAGTAAGTTCTCAAGTGATGTTGACACTGCTGGCTTAGGACCACTTCCCAGCATCACTGCTCTAGCTAACAGTACGTACTAAGGAGCAGGCAGTTAAAAAAAGTAAAAGACCAAACTTATAAAAGTTAGGCCAAGCAAATAGTGGCAGGAACATGGGCGTGAAGACTCAAGACGGGAGTTCAAATTTTGATTCCACCATAAGATGAGCCCATCTAGGGTTAATCGAGAGGCATACACCGAGGCTGTGTGGGTTAAGCCGCTGTTTGTTACTCCAGGAGCAGTCTCTTCGTCCTCGTACGCTGGGGTTCAGGCTTCTGCTCCCCAGTCCGCCGTCGCATGCCAAACGCGCCTCTCCATCCTGCGCTCTAGGTGGTAGAGTCCCGCCCGGCAAGCGTTGCCATGGCAGCGCCGCGGGCCGGGTTGCTGGAGACTCAGCTCGCCGTTGGGCTCGCCCCTTTGTGTTGCAGGGACGGCGGTGTGCTCCCCCCACTCCTGGCCGCACCCTATCGCCCCGCCCTGACCCTCAGGAGGCGGTAGGAGGTAGGGTGTGGGATGGCAGGGACACAGGGAGGAAGGGGAGGCGGGCCGAACCGGGCGGGGCGGGCGCCTCCGCCTGCCAGCCGCTCCCGCATTAAAATTTCATGGGCGCTGCAGTAGCTACAAAGAAGACGCTTGCTGCGCTCGGGGGACCAGAGGGAGGGAGGCTGCGGACGAGTGCGGGGAGGAGTTTGCGATGGGAGGTGCTTGCATGGGCTCCCCCAGTTCTGCGCTGTGAGCCCGGGCACAAAGAGCCCTCTGCACTCGTGCCGCAGGACCACGGACCCGAGGTAAGCCACCCCCCCATCCTTATGGCCCTCCCTCCTCAAGCATCCCTGTGCCTGCTCCGGGAGCAGCCGAATTCCCCGAGGCTGGGTTCCAGGAGGGTAGGTCCCGGGTCCCGGCAGGGTTCAGGGGGATGGCAAACGCTGCCTGAAGCGTCCCTCATTTGATGGATGAAGAGCCTCTCCAGCCTGCAGTTGTCAAATTCAGTCAGGACTCGGGCTTGGGTGGGGCAAGGGGAGGGAAAGGGGAGGACGCGCTGGGAGTCCAGGGCGGATGGGGGGGGGCGTCTTACAGTCATGATCTGAGGGGGAACAAAGACCCCCCCCCAGGCTACCAGAAAGACATGAGGGGGACTCCGGACCTTTTCGGCTCGCCAGGTTAGCCGCTATCTGGCCAAGCCTTGAACAGAGCCCAAAGGGTCTCAGAACTGGGGATGGGGATGGGGTGGGGTCCTGGAGCTCCCTTCCCTCATACCGAGACACCCCTTCCCCATTAACCCTCCCCCTTCCCAGCGCCTGCGAATGCTCCATTCCTGGGACCCCAATTTCAGATGTCCGGCGTTCTGTGTGGCTCCAAAGGGGTGGGAGAGAGCCCGAAAACCCCGTTCGTTGAGGAGAAGAATAATGACTGTGATAATAATACATCCGTTTATGGAGAGCTTACTCTATGCCAACTAAATAAATGCTCAGTGCTTTGCATGCGTTATCATAACAGTCCCGCAAGGTGGTAAGAGCCCCATTTTAAAGATGAGGCAATTGAGATCCAGAGAGGGTTAGGTACACACCAAGGTCACACAGCAGTGATTTTCAATCTAGATTTATCGAACTCTAAAGCCCATGTTACTTACCCAAACGGGGCTAGGGGACGTCGGAGCCCACCAGCTCCCTTCCCACCTCTCCTTTCCAATCCATTCTCTAGAGAGGCTGAGAATTAGGGAGGAAGGAAGGGACCAGGTCTCTCCTCTCCCTCAGCGGAGGTCCCTGGGCTAGAGAAATTGCTTCTCGGACTGTGCAAGGGGAGGCCCTGGGTCTCTCCTCACCTTCCTCCCAGGCTCCAGACCGGTTGCTGCCGTGCGCGGTGTTGCTGGCGCGCATACCCCACTGCAGTGCCTGGGGAAAACGCCCCCACCTGCTGCTGGGCGGAGGGAGGCGGGAGGCAGTAGTGCGGGGAAGGGTGGGGAGGGAAAGGCGAGATAACGTGCGGAAAGCAGCTTTGTTTTTTTTGTTGTTGTTTTTTTTCGGTGCCAGCCTCAGACTGAGCGCGGGCCCGGAAGGCGCAGTGCTTTACTTTCCAAAGCACATTCCCACTTGGGAGCTTCTGGGGGCTTTGCAATCGCTTGGCCTGGGGTGGGGGTAGGGTAAGGATGAGTAATTCCGCTTGACAGACAGGGAAACCTGAGGACAGTGGTTCTCAGACTTTAGGGGCGGTGCTTCAAATACGCAGACGTCTGGGCCACGTGGCCAGGGATGAGTCAGCAGGACTGGGGTGGGGCTGGGCATCTGGATGTGTACTCAGACCTCCCCCTCCCCCTCCTGTTGCAGGTGGTCAGATCGTCCGTTGTGTGAACAGTGCCCCGAACTCTCCCCTCCGCCCCTCGCCTAGAACCATGGGGCAAAATGGTTTTCCTGAAGACACGTCGCCAGGCCCTAGCTTTGGGTGGCATTGAACTCATCCTGTGCCGAGTTTCATTCATTTTATGTTGAAAGAATTTTGCCGGTAACATCCCTTAGGCCCCCAAGGCCCACCTATTTTGTTATTTAATGACCCTTGCCACTGAGAAAGATTTTGAAAAACATCCTTCTTGCTGCAATTTGGACCTCTCTGTCCACTCAGTGGAGGAGAGAACAAAAGTCTTCAAATAACGCTTTAACACGAGCTTTAAAAGAACCACTCTGTGCCTGCTTTAAAAATGGGAATTTTATAATTTTGGTGATTTTTTTCCACATTTAATAAGTTTAATAAAATGAATGATAATTGTAGAAGACTTGGGGGGGGGAAAGGGAAGAAAACACCATAGTCTCATCACCCAAGAGTAACTACTGTATTTACCATTTTCATGTGTTTCCTCTTGAACATATTTCTATTACTGAAAAATAGTAACTGAAATTGTGCGATACGTCTGCTGCTTTTAGAAAGTTACATCAGATGTGTTTCCCCATGTTTTTATGCCCTTTACAGACGTCGTTATAAGAGGGTTAGTGTTTCATGGAATAGACAGACATGCTCTACTCAGTTCCCTATTGTTGGTCCCACCAGTTGTTTCTTTTTAAACATTAAAAAAAATTTTTTTGAGCTTTATTGGGGAACAGTGGGTTTTTTCCAGGACCCATCAGCTCCAAGTCAAGTAGTTGTTTTCACTCTCGTTGTGGAGGGCGCAACTCAGTGGCCCATGTGAGGATCGAACTGGCAACCTTGGTGTTATGAGCCTGCACTCTAACCACCTGAGCTAACTGCCTGCCTTCCCCTCCACTTGTTTTTAACATCTTCATTTTGAAGTTCCTTTCTCTGGACCTGATAGATGCTTCCGCTGGGAGAAGGATTATGCTCTTTGAATTGATAGTTCATTGAGGCATTGAGGCAGTATGCTGTGGTGGAAAGAGAAGGGATTGAGTGTTACATTATCTGTGTGTGAATTCTTCTGCCCACGTGCTCTTTGTGTCAACTTCAGTAAGGAGGTAATTTCCGTTGTCTGAGCCTTAGTCTCCTTATCTGTCACGTGTGGGATCCTAGTACCTGTTTTAAAAGGCTCTGTTGAGGCTATGAACCAGCATGTGTAAAATGCCTGGTACCCAGTAGGTGCTTAATAGAGACATTGCTGCTATGGTGCACCCATTGTGTACAGGCTGAGTTCACTCACTGGGCCCCTGAATCTTGTCTAGATACTTAGTTATTTGCTTTTATTTGTTCTGGGCTGTTGCTTCCTCTCCTGGTTGATCCTTGGGCTGTTTGAGCAGCATTGTTTCTGGAGCATTGGGTCCATTGTGCAAGTTCAATGGGCTGGTGAATAACTTATAGGTTAGTCCTTTGTTTCCAGGGGATCCCTCCTCAGGTCTCTGCAGCCTGGCTCATCTGTCAGCTGGAGCTCTGGAACAATAGCCAGAGATACCCAGGGACATAGGCAAAGGCCAGCTGAGAGTGACAGCTGTCTCCCCATCCCTCTGTAGGCTGATAGGATCAGATGAGGCAGGTGTCCCCTTCTCCCTGTGGTGCCAGGTGGGCCTCCCTGGAAGCTACTGAATGAGTTGTGGCAGGGAAGGAGGGGCCGAGCTATTGTGTGCTCAAGGGTGTGGGACAGATCATGAAGGACAACCAACTCCTTCTGCCACTTAGTGACCATTTATCAAGATTCTTGCGGGGCGTGGCCTCATGGACACTCCCTGACAAGGTGGGGAGTTGGGCATCACAGATGAGAAACTGAGGCTCAGGGAGGTGAAGTGACTAGCTCAGGGTCACACAGCAAGCTAGTTGCAGACTCAGGATTTGAACCTGGATGTAGTATCGCTCTGAAACATGTTTGTAACTACTACGTTACTCTACTGTTTCTCCTAAAAGTGAACTTAATCAGTTGCCTCAAGACCATGGAAGCAACTGGAATAAACTGATCTGAGATTAGCTAGCAATCATGGTCTGATTTTTTCACAGTTATAGCAATACTGATGATGGCAGTGTTTGCCATTTACATGTACCTTCCTCAGGTCTCTTCCCATTTAATCCCCCCATTCCCCCCCGTATTTGAACGTAAGTCTTCTGCCCCTTTGTGGTTCAATGGTTCAGTTGCACCATTTTCTAGCTGAGTGATCTTGGAGCGAGGCACTTTACCCTGAACCTCAGTTTGATCATCTGTAAAACGGGGACAATAAAACCCAACTCTTGTTTTGTCAGGTAGGTATAGGTGCCCCCAATTAGTCTCTGTTCTCAGGAAAGGTTAGCTTACCTTCCTTTCCCTCCTCCTTGCTTTACTCCCCGCCCCGCAGCTCAGAGTGCCCCTCCTTTGAGGGAGATTTGAATTCTGAAGCTTCTCTATTGTGTATGTTGTTTGAATTGGTCCAGAAACAGCGTGTTCTGCTCCTCTACAGATGCCCCTGTTCCCCTCAGCATGTCTCCTGTGTGGAGCCCCACACAACACATCTTGTTATTCCCGGGAGCTTCCCTTATTTCTTGGTACTCACTCATCAAAGCAATTTAGGTCAACGTCTCCTGTATGCCTCCACTCTCTGGGCAGCTACTTTATTCCAGAGTCAGGGGGAAAAAACCCCAAACCCAGAGGGATCCTACCATGCAACCGAAAGCATGTTTCTCTGATAGCTGTTCATCCGTGACCAGAAACAGTGCACGGAGTTTAGAGGGGGCAATGCATAGCTTGTGGGATGGTGTGAACGAGCAGTGTGGACAAGGGTAGTAATTAAGAATAATGTAAGAAATAATAGAATGCAAGTGAATAGATAATATTTACTATTCCACTGAACCCTCACAACAGCCTCGGGTGGTGGGCACCATTATTGTCCCCATTTTGTGGATAAGCCAGGTCCACAGCGGTGATGCACTCGCTCATGGTGGCAGAGCAGGATGGGAATTCGTCCCGTACAGCCCCCGTCCTTTCCAAGGTGTTACAATGTTTTTGGTTGGTACTGGCCTGGCCAAGATACCTCCCAGTTTCCTGTGTTGCTTCTAATATGCATCCGAGGAGATCAGTTTTTAGCAAATGCTGTGATTTCAGACCAAGACCCTGGCATCTGTTCTCCAGTGTGCTCCTGGGTACATATGTGTTCCCCCACCCCTCTCTCTTTCTCTCTGGATGACAGCTGCAGGCACCGCCCTGCCCACTCATGTGGTCCCAGACACGTTCACATGGCCGCCATGACCCTCACAGCATCAAAGGAGCAACCAAGGTGACTCTTTCTCTCCTTCTGGGCACCCCTGGGATGGTAGAGACCAGCATCATGCTATGTGCTCAGGCCCACCAAGAAATTCATCCATGCTAAGACCTCCTGCATCTCAGAGGTAGGCGGGACCTCTAGGATCCTGTGGGATCTAGTCGCTCAATCATTGGTTTGAAGTGTGTGTGTAGGGGTGGCTTATGTGGGCTAGTGGGAGCTGATGCTGGGGTCCTGGCGCCCACCCCAGTCCTTTGTATGGCCTTTTATCTGACCCTTCTTGGTTCTTGTCCTCTAAATGAGTTTTGAAAAAATAACTTTATTGAGGCACAATTTACATACAGTAAAATGCACCTCTTTAAAGTATATGTTTCAATGTGTTTTGATAAATGTATATACCTGTGTAACCACCCCCACGATCAACCTATAAAACATTTTATCACCCTAAAATTTTTCCCTGTCTATCCCCTCCCAGCCCAGTTGCAGGAAACCACTGATATGCTTTCAATGACTATGGATAAGACTGTTTTTTTCTGAAGTTCATTAATATGGAATCTTTTGTGCTTGGCTTCTTTTGCTTTGTGTCGTGGTTCTGAGGTTCATACTTGATTTTGCATGTATCAGAAGTTCTATCCTTTTTGTGTGTGTGTCTAACGTCCTGGGGGCATCATTTGAATATTGTATAACTCACCCATTTCAAGTGCACAATTCAATCGTTTTTTAGTAAACGTACCAAGTTGTGCACCCCATCAACATAGATCAGTTTCACAATGTCTCCATTGCCCCAGTAAGACCCCTCACACCCATTTACTGTTAATCGCCATGCCACTTCTAATCCCAGGCAGACACTAGTCTACTTCCTGTCTCCGTAGTTTTGCCTTTTCTGGACATTTCTTATAAATAGAATCATCCAACATGTAGTCTGTTGTGCCTGGCCTCTTTCACCCTGGATGATAGTTTTGAGGTTTGTCCATGTCATAGTCTGTATCAATAGTTTGTTACTTTTTATTGCTATTGAGTAGGTTTCATTATATGCGTCTACTACAGTTGGTTTTTCCAGTCACCAAGATGGTGGTTTAAATTTGATCTGTGCTTCCTAGCTGGGTATGTACACTCCCTGCCCTGAGAGGCATATATGCTGCAGGATAAATGGCCCATATTTCTGGGACATTAGTGTGCCACAAAGATTTAGTTAAAGTTTAAACAATTAACTGGTGAAGATAAATTTTGGAACACTCATTGTGTGCTGGGTGCTGGCTAAGCTTTGAGAATAATTAGAGTCACATGTTGGGTATGTGGGCTTGAGGACAATAAGTCTCCCCCATATTTGTCTGACCTCAAAGCCCATGCCTTTCTGTCTGCCCTCCTAGACAGCTGTCAGCTTGACCCAGGAACTAAAGTTTCCCTTGAAACCTTTATGGCCTTGTGAACATCAGGGATTCTGGGTCCACAGGGCCAATGGAAAGGATATTTTTGTGGTCAAACAATGTTCCTCTGAGCTGTCCAGGGTCTCTTTACAGAGTGCAGCAAGTTCCTGGGATAGAGGAGAGAGAAGGGAATTTCTGAGTGCTTCTGGACGTTCAAGACGACACTGGGAAGCAGCCTTGCAGATAAGTATTCAAACTTTGCAGCCTGCAGCCTACCAGCCTGCCCTCTCCTGGTCTGTGCAGGAAAATGTAGTAACCCAGAATCTCCAGGTGGGAGGGGGATTGGTGATGCAGCTGTTCATTTCTCTCCCTCCATGCCACAAAGAAAGAGCTTTGTGGGGCCCTGTAAAGGGTAATTGTCACACCCCACTTTTGGCATCAAGGCTAGTATTTCATAAACCCCACCATCAGGAGCTTCTGAGGCGCTGAGGTTAACGACTTCATCTTGAGCGCTTGTAGAGCTGGTGTCAGAAGGAGGCTGGAGGCTCCTGTGATAGGGGCTGGCCCGCCTCTTCTCAGTTCTGGCCCTTTGTCATCATATTGATAAAACTCCGACAGGGCTCCTTTGCCTGGCAGTCAAGGTGGGGGGGGGGCGCGTGAGCACTGTGCACTTTGCACTCTTCTGAGTGCAAAGGTCTGAGTACACCCCCAGCCCTGGACCTGTGCCCCAAGTCCCAGGTGCTGACAGCAAGCTCTGAAAATATGCTGAGCGGAACCCCGACTCGCCTGGCCCAGGTCTACCAGTCAATGAAGGTAGCTTAGCCGTCACCAAAAGCAAAACCTGGGAGATGGTTCGGGTCAGGATTAGTGGGAGTTTGATGGTGGGCAGGGTGGGGGGCAGAAAAAGAACTGGCTGAGCACAGGGGCCCCTGGCATTTCCCACCCACTGCCTCAAACTCTGGGTTACTACTGTGCATCTTAGGTGACTGTCAGGGCTAGAAGGGCCCATAGCCCAGACTTTCCAGGGCCACACAGCAAGGCAGAGCTGGGATTAGAACGCCTCATTCCTGACTCTGTTCAGGTTCTCCTGGATCACATTCTGCTGTTGTCAGGGACCAGGGAGGTGGGGGAGGGACGTTCGGGGGCGGGGGAAGGGTTGTGGAGGGTGGCATGCCCGGGCCCCATCTCCCTGGCTCCCCAGCCTGCTTCTTCTTAGTGGAGAGGTCCGGCCAGGCCAGGGCCGGGGGAGGGGCCCGGGTGCGGTTTTCTCCTGCAGTGTGGTTGGCTCTTTTGTCTTCTAGGATGGGCCTGTGGGGTCTACAGAGGAAGAAGCCAGAAGCCGGGCCCAGGCCGCCAGCATGTTGGCTGGGCGCTGCCAGGTAAGTCTGGGTAGGCATGGGGGAGGGAGGTTCCACTGAGCGTAGTTACTTGGGATTGTCCCCCCACCTGTGGCGCCTGGCCAGACACTTCTGCTCATGAAAGAAGGCCTGGGAGCCAGGTGTCTGGAAGGCTTGTCCAAGTGGTGTTGGTGGGGGTGGGTTGATGGTAGAGATTTCAGCATGTTCCTTCATTCAGCACAAATGTGGACCGAGCCCCTTCTCCCAGCCTGAGGATCCAGAAGTAAACACCAGAGCTGTGTTGCCGCTGTCTCAGATCTTCATGTAAGAAAGTGCTTTATCACAGTCTCAGCGCAGGAGTGAGCTCCCCGTCCTGGGAGGTATGCGTGTGTGTGTGTGTGTGTGTGTGTGTGTGTGTGTGTGTGTGTGTGTGTGCTGGGGGAGAGTGGTACAGAGGTGTCCTCAGTGGGAATGTTGTCCAGGGAATCCAAGCCTCCCAAGGACTCTGAAGGTCCTTTCTGCCCCCTTGAACCCTTGCCCCTTCTCCACCTGTGATGCCTATGGGGCCGGCTTGGGGCTCCTGGTATTGTTTTTCCATCCTCTGAGCTAGCCCTGCCAAAGAGTGGCCTCCATGGCTTTCACCACTTCCACTCTATTCTTTAATTTCTTCTAAAAGTGATTAGCGTCCAGAACCCTCCCCCTCAACTCAGTCTAGGTGTTGGGGGCACAGGAGGGAGGCTGGTGGTCTCTGAAGGCATCCTCCTCAGATGTGGGGTTAGGTTAGGGGGTTGGAGGGCCTGGGGATGGAGACCGTGTCCTCATCCTAACGCGCTGTACCTCCTCTAGGCAGCTCTGCCTTGCCACACCTCCAGGATTCCTGGCCTGGTCTTGTCTTTGGAGCCCAGGTGACTCTGGCCACAGTGACACAGGCAGCAGCTCTTGGTGGTTTCCTGGAACCCCGGACCATTCCCCCAAGATCTTATTCTTCCCAACTCCCGGGATGGAGCCTCGCGTGGACAAAGGACCCTCCTGATTGGTGCTCAGCTGAGGACGGGACCTGGCTCTGGAGGTCAGCTCGAGGGGCGTGAGGGTGGCAGGCAGCCCTCTGTCCCCTCTGCGCCCTCCTGGACCTTGCCTGCTGGGCCCGGAAGCCAGCTCCTGACCTGTGAGGACTTGTTTCCTCCTCTCGTCTATGCTGGTGATGAGACAAATCTCGGCCTGGGCAGAGGCCCCACTGACTGTACCCTCCCTAAGGCCAGGTCCCAATGGACCCTCCAGCACTGGGGCACGAACATGGGATGGAGTCGGGAGGAACTGCCAGTGGGAGGGAGGCCAGATGCATCTCAGTGAGCGCCGTGGGCTGGAGTGTGTCTTGTGCCGCCATTTGCCTTGTGAGTGATCTTCATTTTGGGGGTGTTTTTTGGATAGAGCTTCTTCTCTTTCTGATGGTCAGGGGGAGGAGGCGGTCAGTGTCTGGGAGGAGCCTGGGCCGTCCCCCATGTTCAGCTCTGGGAGGGGGAATGGCTGTGCTATCCTGAAAGGGGAGGGTTTTCGAGAGAGGAGGATACCCAGGCCAGGGGGTGTCGCCAGAAAGAGACAGACACTGGGCCTGTTCCTACCATCCAAAGGGAACAGGCTGCAACCAGCTTTGCCCCCAGGCTTGAGGGTCACTCAGCTTGATTTCTGAGTCCTATTCCTGTTGCACCTGATCCTCGATTCTGTCCTTGTGGGGCAAAGGCAGGCAAGGCAGCCCCCATGCATGCACGTGCAGCCTCCCCCATCACAGAGCTTCTCTTGCACGCCCACCTCTCTCTCCATCCTCTGCTTGTTCTAGTCCCCTCCAGAGGAGCTGGTCCCAGTGCTCACACAAGAGCAGCCGTGGCCTTCCTCAGGCACATTTAAAAGCTGCACGTCCTTTCCCCAGGGTGGGGAGGGGGCCTATCTATTATTAGTTTGCTGGAGCTGCCATCACAGAATACCACAGACTGGGCGGCTTAAACAGCAGAAATATATTGTCTCACAGTTCTGGTGGCTAGAAGTCCGAGGTCAAGGTGCCAGGCTTGGTTTCTCCTGAGGCCTCTCTCCTCAGCTTGCAGATGGCACCTTCTTGCTTCATCTTCACAAAGCCTTTTCTCTGTGCACACAGGCAGGGGGAGGAGGAGGGGTGGGGGGTGAGAGGGAGCGGGGAGCGGGGAGAGGGAGAGATTTTGTGTCTCTTCCACTTTTTATAAGGACACCAGTCTTATCAAATTAGAGCCCTACCCTTATGCCCTCATTAAGCCTTAATTACCACCTTAAAGGTCCCATTTCCAAATATAGTCACATTGGGGGGTAGGGCTTAAATCTGTGAATTGGGGGAGGGACACAATTTAGTCCAGAACAGGCAGTCACCACAAACGTGGAAAGCTGGAGCCATCTCCTCTGTACAATCTCTGCCCCCACAGGGAGGGGGAAGAGGAACAGAGGTGCGGAAGTAGTCACGGGGGTGCAAGGGGGACTGTGCTAAGGTGGCCCTGGGTCTCCTGGACACACAGAACTAGTGGGACCTAGGGCAGCGAGGAGGAGCTCCCAGGAGAGGGATGTCCCGGAAGAGCCTGGGCTTTGGACCGACGGTGTGTACTCTGCTGTACAACCTTGGGCAAGCTATCTCACCTCTGTGAGTCCGATTTCCACTCTGAAATGGGCCATCTGTTCCCCTGGGGGCACAGGGGGGATTCAGTGAAATCACATGCTTGCACAGCACCTGTCTCTTGAAAGGTCCTCATTAAATCCTCCCATCCACCTGCAAGTTTAGATTTAGGGCTTATCTATTTTTGGTGCTCTGGACCATAAACGCAGCATCTTCAGATCCAGAGGCAATTTTGACTAGCCTGTCCCATCCTGTTTCCTTAAGATCTAAGCGACTTGGGGAAGTGGCTGTATTTCCTGGCCTCCATAGTCGCTCCAAATGCTTCCGAGGGTATTTAAATTCTACTCTCATCAGAATTGAGCATCTATTATACTTCGGGCCCTTCCCTGTGTTAGCCGCTTGGGGGAGATACAGGTGAAGGTCTAGGCATAGTTCCAACAGAACCAGCTCGCCACAGACAACTGGAGAATGCAGCAGAAAGCAGTCTATGGGGGGTGGGAGTGAGATCTCAGAGTGGGCTGCAGCAGTCCGACAGGCCTCCCAGCAAGGCTGACCCAATCCAGGCCTTGAAGGATGAGAAAGATGTGGTTTAACTGAGAGCTTCCAGTGGGGAAATTAGAGCAGATTCCCAAAGTGAGTTCTAGGAGCTGTCACTGCTCTTAAAAAAAAAAAAAAAAAAAGTATGTCAAATTCGGCATGTTTCTGTAGTGCAGGAGTTATCAGAGCCTTTAAAATGCCAGTAGGAAGGAATTGTGAATACTCAAGGACAGACAGAGGATGAGGTGTCACCCAAAACTTTACTACTTTACTGGACAGGACCTTTTTTTTTTTTTTTAATAGAGTATCATTTAGAATTGTGGGAGATGCTAGGCTGGGTTTTCTGTGGAAAAACTATAGCAATGATCTGAGATGACATGAGGAGGGCCCGGACAGGTGCTCTGTAGCATTGGCTGGAAAGGCAGCAGACCAGGAGGGGCTGGGGCGTCTGACCTTGGATCCAGGGGTCAAGCAAGCTCTCTGCAGTTTTGGTATGAGGAGGAGACAGGCTGGTAGCAGTTGGAACCGCCAGAGGCCTGGCTGTGGGTGATCCGAAGAGATGTCCACTGGACATGGTGGCTCTGGGGCATCAGACCTTTTGTGGGAAGATGCTGGTGTGTGCACGTGTGCGTGTGTGTGCACGCGTGAGTGTGACAGGATCCAGCTCTTTGGGAAATGGGCTGACCAGAGCCGGGCAGGGGGGTTTCTAGCCAGGACAAGGAAGGACTGTTTCCAGGGGGAATGAAAGTGTTTGGCGGGAGGGTCTCTGAGGCCCATGGGAAGTCAAGAAATCGGGAAGCCAAATGCTTCTGGGCAGGGTCCGCTTGGATAGGCTTGATTCTGGTAGGGCTGAGAGGCTGGGAGGCAGACCCCCTGCCCTGGTCAGGCCCAGCTCCCTGGCTGGTGGGGACAGGAGGCCTCGAGCTGCAGCCGAGGGGCCCGGGCAGTGTTGCATGGTGTGATTAACCTACTAACCCAGGGCTCGGCCGGGACGCTGTGGTGTGTGACGAGGTGCCTGGCCTTCTGCCCACTAACTAACCCACTAACCAGGCCCGAGCATGCCCTACTAACTCCCCGCAGCCAGACCCTACTAACCTTGCAGCTCAAGGGCCTTTCAAGGGGCTGGGACGTGGGGAGCACTCGAGGCTCTGGAAGGCCCGGCCCATGGCCTGGGATCTCTGTGCAGACCCACATTCCAGGGCAAGGCATGCAAATAAGACTCGACAGCTCTGCCACTTCCTGCTGGGTGACTTTGAGCAAGTCACCTCACCACTCTGAATCCATTTCCTCAGGTCCTGACAAGTGGCAGGTACTTCCAAAGGGTGAGGGTGGGAGTGGGAGGCCCAGAAAACTTGGTTGACCCTATTCCCTGCCTAGGCCCTGGTCCCTTTGGGTGTTCTGCACATAGACCTTCTGCCTGGGGCCAGACACTTGCTTTGAACCCCTAACCGTCTCTTCCCCCCATTCTTCCTCCTCCTCAGCTTTCTCTTCCATAGGCAGCTCTTTTGTTCGATTACTAACCCGTCTAACCTGGGGGTGCCTCAGGTGCACCTCGACCACCCCTTAACAAACTAACGGACCTGTGTGTGTTCTTCCTTTTATCCTAGTGACTCCTGTGTGTGTCTGCTGAGGTGCCCCTCTCTGCTGGTGCTGTGCTCTGACTTACTAACCCCAGCCCCTACTAACCCTGTTTTCTCTTCTTACTAACCCAGCCCTGCCGAGCTCTGGGCCCCCCTGGGGGCTGGTCCTCCCTCCTTTTGGCAAGCAGATGCTCTGGGGCTGGCCCTGCAGACAGATGCTCTACTTGGCTGCCCCAATTGGCTGTGAGTTCAGTCCACTGGGCCAGGTCAGAGGCAGGGGACAGCCCTATTGACCATACCAGTGGCCCAGAGGAAAAGGTGGTCATGTGGACATGGGAGGCTGGCCTCTGAGCACAAGCATCTCTCTTCTGTGCAGAAGCGTGCTTGCCACTGGGAGTGGGTGGGACCAGGGAAACCTCTGGGGTGTGAGTGTGGAGGCCTATGGGTCTAGAGTGTGGAGCACTGAGCTTTTCCCAGCCAAGGGAGCAGAGAGAAGAGGGCCATGGTTCTTTCTTTGGAGGGAAGTGAGGGTAGAATTGTCCCCATTGAAAAGTGTGGGGGTGGGGTCAGTGTTGCACAGGAAGCCAATGGGGTGTGTGGGGGCGTGTCCCACACCACAAGTCAAAAAAGGGACATGTCCCACAGCGGAAGTCAGTAAGTGGAGACTTCCCTACACTGCAAGTCAATAAAAGGGTCTTTTCCACCCTGGAATCCACTGAGTGGAGCATTTAGTACAGGAAGTCAGCTAGGATGGGAGGAAGAGCATTTCTTATACCGGAAGTCAGCGAGAAGGGAATTTCTGGCCTTCTCACCAAGTGGTGAGAAGGAATAGCCAAGAGATGAGTGAGAGGGTCCTTCCCCACAACAGGAAGGTGGCTAGAGGGCCCCTTCCCTTCCCGAGGCCGGGAGGTCTGGCTTTCCCACACTGAAAGTCGATGTGGGCCATGTTTCCTGCTGGAAGTCATTGAGAAGGACTGTCCACACCAGGAAGCTTGAGAAGGCTGGGAAGAAAGATGATGAAACCCGGGCTTGGGGTTTGCAGAAGGAGGAAATGGGAAACAAGAAATGAACCCCAGGGCGCCACAGGTTCCTACAGCCCCTCAGGCCAGACAGGAGCTCACCCCTGGCTTCCTGTCCTGTTCCCACCCACATCCTGGCCCCAGCCTGCCTCCCCCAGAGCCCGCCAGCCGCTAAGCCAGGGCCACACCTGGGGGTGATTTTAATCCTCACCTCCAGTAGGCACCTTGGTCTCTTTGGGCTAATCTCTGGCTCCTTTGCACTAACTCTTGCTCTCACTCAGCTAATCCTTGCCTTGCCCTGGCCGTCCCCGAAGGGCTGACCACTAACAGCCAACCCTGCCCATCTTGGGACTCCAGGCAACTGGTCTGGCTCTGACCGGCTCTTAATTAACCTCTCCTTCATCTCGACTAACGCCTGCACTCCTGGTCTGTTCCTTTCAGCAGAAACTAACGGCTTGTGGATTTCCTTCTGACTAACAACGGGTCTAACACTCCTTGTTACTATTACCATTAACAGCTTGGATGTCGGCATGGCTGGGATGGGACTAACACAGGTTTGAAATTGGACTAACACAGGGAGATGTGTAGCTAGTAGCGTTGGATCGCTCTGGGTCAGAGCCATCCAAAGTCAGTCAATACCGTGGTCCTCTAAAGGAGGTGCTGGGCTCGGGTGTGGCTCAGGCTTGATGGAGGAGTGATGTCTGCTGGGGTGTGGTCAAAAGCACAGTCAGCCTTCCAAGGCATTGGCTACTGGACAGATCCTGTTAAACCTTCATAATCTGCATATGGGTTTTGGTTCTTTGAAACAATAGCCTCGAAGCTCCAATAGTCCAAATGAGTGGATGCAGCACTTAGAGCCCTCAGAATGCCTCCCTGGTGTGTACAGAGGCTGTGCCATTATGTACGGAAGGGTCACCAGTCACCAGGCCAGGGCCTAGAGTCCTTGATTTGGGGACTTGAGAGTTTTGGAAGCCCTAGGACATAAAGCTTTAGATTGGAATATTCGGAAGGGTTATAAATCCATCACCCATTTACACAGTAAAAATGAGCTCAGCTTCCTCTTCTATGCAATCTAGCTGCGTTGAGATGATGAGCGTTTGGCGGGAAGGGAGTTTAGAAGGGCCGAGGGAGGATTCTTTGGGAGCAGAGAGGGGTCCAGGAGGCCAAGGGTTCCTGGGTGGGAGCTAGAGGTGGCACCCGGTTGAAGGGGGCATGGGAAGAGGTACTGTTTTTACTGGTCCGTCTGGTAGTCAGGGCCTGTGAGAGAGGACAGCTCATGCAGAGCCTGGAGGATTGGATCAGCTCAGGGTCAGGGTCAGCTCAGAGGCTGGCCTGGAGGCCTTGTAGGCAAGGGGCTTGGGTCATTGGATGCTGGCCTGGGGCCGAGAGCCTCTCTGACAGCCATGGACCCAGCTAACCGAGTGGAGCTAGCAGCGAGGCCTGAAGGGTGATCCAGAGGCCTGAGTTGCAAAGAGAACAAGAAGCGAATGCACCGGGAAGAGCTTGAGAAGCTGCATTGGCTGCTGGCAGGACTGGGGATGGAGCGGAGTGGGAAGCACATGTCTGCTGCCCTCTAGTGGCCGACTTGCCCCATTTCACTAGAAGCAGGAAGCTCAGGAACGTTTTCCGTTCCCAGGGATCTCCTCTTTATTCATACAAAGATTTGATGCTGCTGAGGACCTACTATGTGCCAAGGACTGCTCTGGGTGCTGGGATCCACACACAAGCTTCTTTATTATATAGCTTATATAGCTCAGTGAGGGAAATGGAGAAATAAACAAGTAAAGTAGTGAGATAGGTGCCATGAAAGGAATGGCTGGGGCTGTGGAAGCACCCAAGAGACAAGCGAGGATGAAGCGCACCTGTTCTGTGCCAGGTGTGGTGCCAGGCATGGAGGATGAGTGATGGATGACTAAACAACATCCGGTCTTCAGAGCTTTGAGGCTAGTGTGTTGGGTGGGTGTCAGTAGCGTGGGGGTGGACAGTCAAGGTAGCCTTTCTAAACAGGAAGACATCTCAGCTGAGAGCTGGCTGGGCAGCATGTGGTGGGGATGAGTTCCAGGCAGCAGGAATGGTGGACTCAAAGTTCTGGGGACTAGAGAGAATCAAAGAGATTCTGGAAGGTTCATGGGGAAGGTAGGAGACAGGTGGGAAGTGGACATGTACCAGGCTGTGTTGCCAGGGAGTTTGAGCTTTGTCTTAAGGGCAATTGGGGGTCATGGATGTGATCTTAGGAGAGGAGATGTTGATTTGAATTTTAGGCTGACAATTTGGCTGTTCGGGCCCAGGTGGAATTCTGGAGACTATAATAAGTTCTGGCCAATTTTTAGGTAATATTAGAACTTCTTGAAACTCGGAGGGCCCTTAGGTCCGTCTGGAGAGAAACAGGATCTATAAACGCTTGCCCCTGCTGGAGGGAGTGCTGCCATGATTGGAAAGCAAAGAGGGCCATGTTCGTGCCAGGCAGGGACTTTGCTGAGGTGACAATGGTGCCTTGGAGGAGGAGCAGTCTCAATAGTGTATCAGCCCAGGCGCCTGGTGGTATACGGCTGCCAGACAAGATCTGAGGGGATGTGGTCACGGGCTGCAGGTCTAAGAATATCACTGGAGAGGGAGCCCATTTGTCATGGGTGACTGCAAGGGCACCAGCTAACATGAAGGAGTAAGCTCCCAAGAGGCTGATCCTGGTCCCAGGGAGGAAAAATATCTGTCTTGGTGGGTAACGGACCTTCTGTCCCTAGAGACAGAAGGATTGGGACTAGGCCACCTTTAAGATGGATGATGGCGGTGAGATTTTAGGAGCGTGCGTGCGTGCGTGTATGTGTGTGTCTGTGTGTCCATCCTCAATATGGGAGGAAGTTGAGCTCAAGTAGGCACACTGTTTACCCGCCTGACTTGGGCCTGCTGATGTTCACTCTGGCCATGAGTCTACTGAACATCAAGCTTATTAGGAGCAGGAGCTCATGAGCTGGGGAATTGGTCTCCCAGAGGCATCTTACTCTTTTCATAGGCAGCATAGAGAGTGTGGCCACTGTGGACCGTGCTTGAGGGCTGTGCTGCCACAAATGCTGACATTGAGCTGGGAGAATGCCCAGGGTGGGGGAGTAGTCTCATCCCAACAAAGGACCCCAAAGGCCCTCTTGAAAGTCTTTCCAGGGACTCACTGTTTTACTTTAACAGAGTAGAGAATACATGTTTTGTGTTATTGCCTCCTGGGGATGTTGAATGTGGGAACAGAAATTCTGTTGTAGATTAAAAATCAGATTTTTAACCTGGAATCATCAATGGAGTGCAAACTTGGCTTTTTTGTTGTTGTTGTTGTTTTCACCCATGAATGTTGCTTCTTCTGTGTAAATACCATTTTGATATTAAAAACCAATTCACACCCAAAGGATGACTGTTTCTTAGTTGGCAAAAGGGATGGGTAGGTTGGGGGTCGGGTGGGAGTGGTGGGGTGGGGGCGCCAGTGGCATATTCAAGGAGCAGGAGTGGGCTCTGTCAGGCTTTCCTCAAGACTGACCTTGGAAGCCAATATAATCGGGTACTTTTCATTTTTGGTTGTGGGAAAACACACATAACATAAAGGTACTATCTTAATTGTAAGTGTACAATTCAGTGGCATTAAGTACATTCACACTGTTGTGCAACCCTCACCACTCTCAATACTATATATGTTTTTAATAATACTACTTTTTTTGTCTACGACAGTGCTTCAAAGAAAAGCCACATTCTTCTTGAGCTTACACTTCATGGGGAAGGCAGAGTTCTTTGGCGACTGAGAAAAAGGTAGAGTTTAGTGGGTGGTGTTGAAGGGCAGGCAAACAGGTAGCACACACATAGCTCATTTCCCTTGCAGCATCCGTGGCAGACATTGCTAGTTGATCACTCATCTCTCTTTGGGAATCTGGATGCACCTTTAGGATCTTTCTCAGAACAACGTTCAAGGCGGCCAGGACCAGTCTGCTGGGGTATTTTTTTTTTTTTTTTAAGAATTTGGAGTCAGTCCTATGTTTGAGATTCCTGACAAACCTCAGTTTGAATCCCAGCGTTGTCACTTACCTGCGGTGAGATCTTGGGGATTACTCCCAACCCCGAGCCTCCATCTGCTCTGTAAGCTGGGACAGCTCTCTCACCTGATAGGACTGTTGTGAGGGATCACAAGGGAGTGTTCCTGTAGAGATGAGATAGCCTGATGCCTCGCAATTGTTCCCCCTAAATCTCATTCTAAGTTAGTACCCGCTGGAGGAATGGACGCCAGAGGGACAATCAGAACAGAGATAGGGGAGGTGTGGTGAGAGTGGGGCAGCAGGGGAAAGCTTCCTGGAAGAATTGACAAATGACGGAAGCCTTGAAGGACGGGAACAATCAATCAATTGAGATAAAATAGCCTGAGTACATGGCGGTGCAGACTGTCTTGAAATGGCTCCTCCAAGATTCACCAGTTTTACAGGAGATGGGGACACGGATGGTAGAGCAGGGCGGGGTGGGCACTCCAGAGGAGGTTAGTAGGTTAGCAGCCTGAGGAAGAGGACAGGCTGGCCTGCGCAGCAGTACTCAAGGTGTGATAAGGAGAATTGGGACTCTCCCAGGGTTGGCAGAGCTTGAGGGCCAGGAGAGGCAAGTGCTTCCTGTTTGGTGAGGGATGGAGAGGGGCGGGAGGTCAGTGGTTTTGTGGAAGCTCTGGACCCTGGGATGGGGAGGAAAGGAGCCTGGAGTGGGGGGCAGAAGCGGGCTAACAGCGGCCAGGAGCACTCAGGGACTGAGCATGCACATACACCCCCTACACAGAGCCCCAAAGACACTGTGCCCACAGTCCTGTCTTCTGGCTTTAATTCTACTGCTGTCCTGTCTGGGTGACCTTGAGGAGTCACTTTCTCTCTCTGGACCTCTGTCTTTTCTATAAAAGGAGAAAGTTCATTGAGGGGACTTCTAAAGTCCTTCTGCCCTCAAAGGACCGAACTAGAAGATGATTGCCTCCTACTCCTGGCAGCTAGCAGCCACCCACTGGCTTCTTTTCAGTCTTTCTCCCTCCCTCTCTCTCTCTCTCCCTTGTTTTCTCTCTCACTTTCTCTCTCTCCAGAAATTATGGAGTCCTCCCTGTATATGGGGCACTGCCCTAGACTCTGGGATGCCAGCCCTTCTGTTCCTCTAACACTCCTATATTGTTGTCGCCTTAGGATGTTACATTGGATATTCCCTTTGCTTGGCTTATATGCCCCTCTACTTTTTACATGGCTGACTTCTCTGTGGCCCGAAGGTCTCAGCCAAATGTCACCTCCCCAGAGAGATCTCCCCTGACCACCGTACTCGTAGTTACTCTATCACTGCAGTTCCCCAACATTTTGGTCTCAGGAGCCTTTATGCTCTTCCTATATGGGAAACGGTCACCCCCAAGTCTGCTTGGGCATTTCCCACTCACAAAGCTTTAAACACCTCCCCATTTCATTCACGCAACAAAATATTCTCACCCATGCTCTGTGCCAAGTGTGGTGTTGGGTGCCCAGGGGACAGGCATGAAGCAAGCTGGCATCGCCCCTGCCCTGGTGGAGCTCACAGTCCAGAGGAGACAGTAAATGTGCATGAAATCACACACTGTGCTCAGCTCTCCCAGGACGGAGAACCCCTCGCAGGGAGGAGTAACAGGATGAGGAATTAGGCATAGAGAGAGTCTACTGTATTAGACATTAGAACTGAGATGCTTTAAAAAGATTGTTTATTAATTCATTGAAAAATAACAATATGGGGCCGGTCGAGTGGCTCAGTTGGTTAAGAGCACAAGCGCTGAGCATCAGCGTTGTCGGTTCGATTCCCACATGGGCCAGTGATGCTGTGCCTGAGCTGAGCTGCCGCTGAGCTGCCAATGGGCGGCCTGATGGCTCAGCTGGTGAGAGTGTGTACTCTTAACAACAAGGTTGCCGGTTCAACTCCCGCATGGGACAGTGGGCTGCGCCCCCGCACCTAAAATTGAAAGTGGTGACTGGACTTGGAGCTGAGCTTGCGCCCTCCACAACTAAGATTCAAGGATAACGACTTGAAGCTGATGGGTCCTGGAAGAACACAATGTTCCCCTTCTCCAATTCCTAACACTGTTCCCCTCACCAATTCCCCAATAAAAATCTTAAAAAAAAAGAAAGAAAAAGAAAAAATAACAATAACTACAATAAAATCATGGCATGCTAGTGTAAATGACATATTCTTTATGAAAAAGAACTCTAGTTCCAAAACAAGATAAATTTAGTGAGAAACATTATTTTACTTTATTTATTTGGTACCGTATTTGCCGGCGTATAAGACGATTTTTTGGCCCTGAAAAATATGCCTCCAAGTGGGGGGTCGTCTTATACGCCAGGTACACTTCAGATAGACTGCCCATAGTGCTTGCCCCGTGCCATAGTGGCCTCCCGATGCCCGCCCACTTCATTCCACATACCGTTCAGGCATCAGCAGCGCTGCTGGGTGTATGCTCGGCTGTTATGCGATTTTGCTGTTATGCGATTTTACCACACTCGCAAAATCGCACACAGCCGACCATACACCCAGTATGATAGCGCAAAATCGCGAACCGCGATACCATACTGGGTGTATGGTCGGCTGTGTGCGATTTTGCGAGTGTGGTAAATTCGGGTTACCGTATATTTCTTTACATATGCATTGAAGATTCGCGATTTTGCGCTATCATGGTGCCTGTTAGAATGTTGAAGAGCTCGCACTTGCGCACTAGTGAGGTCCCAGGGAGATGCTGATGCAAGGGTGGACCAGACTGCTATAGTGACAGGGCGGGCAAACAGGGAGCAGGGACCAATCAAATCAGGCTTTGTATACAGCCAACAGCCAACCTCAATACTGCACCATTGTACAGTACAGCATAGAAAATGTCGACCAGTCAAACCCCTATCATCCCTATCATGGCACCAGCCAAAAGAAAGAAGTATGATGCAAATTTTAAACTGAAAGTTATAAACTTTGCTAAGGAAAATAATAATTGTGCTGCTGCAAGACAATATGGAGTAACAGAAAAGATGGTTCGGGACTGGAAATCAAATGAGAAAGCATTAAAGAGTATGCCAAGGGGTAAGTGTGCATTAAGAAGAGGCACCCCACACTGGCCAGAACTCGAAAAACATGTAGCAGACATGGTGGCTCAACATCGCCAAAACGGTTATGTGGTGACACGAAATACAATACGCTTGTTTGCACTTCAGTGGGCCAAATCAAATCTGATATTGTTTTACCTTTTATTTGGTGTGTGGAAGGTGTGCGGAAGAGGGGGTAGTCTTATACAGCGAGTATATAACAAACTCTGTATTTTGAGTGGAAATGTTAGGGGGTCGTCTTATACGCCCAGTCGTCTTATACGCCGGCAAATACGGTAAATCTCTGATGTTTGGCTTCGCAGAAGACGGATTCTGCTGGATTCTGAGATCTACTTCTTCATTCGGGTCTGTTGCAATGTCACCTGTCACATAGCCTCTGGAAAACTCCACTGTATACTCGTGAGGGACTGAGATGAAAAAGGCTAATGTCTTTCTGGGTCACCAGCTCTCCGGGCCACACCTTGAAAACTGCTGATCTATAACAGGATCTGTTTATTTCTTGCTTGAAACTTATGCCCATGTGAAATACCCTTGCTTACTTGAAGTCTGATTCCTGTGTATTGTCTGTCTCCTTGTTTACGGCATGCTCCCGGAAGGCAGGGTCTCAGAGCTCCCTGGAGGCGCTCACAGTGGCCAACCCAGAGCTGCAGTTTTTAGGCGTGGCCAGAAGATGGCGATGTTGCACCAAGACCGCCTCAGTCTCCTGTTCTTGGAAAACGGGTTTACTCTCTGGGGGCATTTGGGGAGGCTCTGTGGGGATATTCTTTGGATCCTGCAATTTTAGAATGTTGGGTAGGAGGGAAGGGAAGAGGCATAGGTGGGGAAAGGGAAGAGGCTAGAGAGAATGCAGCTCTGGAAAAGTGCTGCTGATTTCTGCTGAGGGCTTCAGTTCTGAACAAGCCCAGCCAAGTGACTTCCCCTCTCTGAGCCTCAGTTTTCTTTTCTGCAAAATGGGCAACCTATGACTTCAGCGTCCATTTCACCATGCTTCTCTTGGCAAGAAACCCTTTAGCCTGAACACACTGGTGATCCTGGCAATGCAGGGTCCCTCAATATCCTCCCCCTGAGGTCTAGAGGATTCTGAGAACCAGCTGACGCTGTGGGCTCTGCCTGCAGGCAAGACCATTTCTCCCATCCCACCTCCACGCCCCTTGCCTTAGCCTGCCTGGGTTGATATAAAATGGCCCTTGTCATTTTCTGAGGGCTGACTGGGTGCCAGGCTTTGTACTAAATTGTTTGTACATGTTGATTCATGCAGTGCTCACAATAGTTTGAGAGGTGGGTTTCGCTATCTCTA